ATCGAGTTACTAATTGAGCCCTGGCCAGGTGGCATCCATACGTGTGTAGCCTTTAGGTCTAGATGATCTCTATAATTACATTATTCAAAATTATATAACATCTGAAAAAGTAAATGATTGGCATAAAAAGAAACACCTGTCCTGTATTTTAAAAATATTCCCATTATAACATCCAAGTTTATATTAGAAGTATATACATTTTTTAAAAACATTACACTTATAAAACTACATATTTTGATAGTGTATAATATAAATATATAAATGTATATTTATATATTATAATATGTCAGATAGGGATAAGTACCAAATATTGTTGAGTTAACACTTTCTTAGGTTATTCGATAAAGTATAGTAAAGAATTAAAAAAACATTTTTTTTTCTTTTGAATATTTACTATTTACGTATCTATTCCATGCATAAACTAAAACTAATTGAATCCCTTTCTGTGGGAATACTATTTCTGTAAAGATCCCACTCATGAAACAATATTCGTATAAAAAAAAAAGTGTTGTCCAAGAAAAAAACTACCTCGCATTTTGTTCACGTAGGTACATGCAAATATCGTGTGACTATGTTAAAAAAAAAAATCGTCTAATTTTTATACTTCTATATTTTTTTTACCTAAAACAATACTCAGCTGCCAGTGTATAAGTACGGGGGTAGGTAGGTATGCGTGAGAATGAGAGGAAGGGTCACAGGTGTTTTACATGGATATAATCCGTCTGATGCATGCAAATGCTCGTCCACGCTATTATAATGTAGTGGAAGAGAAGAAAAAAATTTACCCTGCGTGAGATTCTATAACGACGGCATTGTCTTTGTACATTTTTTTGTCATCTATAACCCTTTTCTAAGGTCATTCCCAAGTCGGTGCAAAAAACGGACCCCTTTTGCATAAAAAATTATTTAAACTTTTTTTTTGGCCACCCACCAAAAAAATTGACTCTACATGGTTAGATATACGAGATGGTTCATCCCCAGTGGGATTGTTTTTTTTTTCATCATCCATATACGGATAATTAAGGGTGTGAGGGTACGTCCGCCATTTCGCTACCCTCCGGTATTGTTTAGGGGTGGATGCTATTTTTTGTTATTATTTTTTTTAAGGTTTCGTTCTACCCTCCGGATGACTGTCCCGGCCCAATGGTGAAGCGGCAGGGGTAACTGAAATATGGTTGGATGGGATCAACGGTTTTTGTAACGTTTTCGCAACGGTTTACTAAAAACAAAAATGGACGAACTAAGACTACTGATTAGTATGAACGCGTGTATAATTATGGCAGACATTTTTTGGTTAGTATGAAATTTGATTGAAGAATTAAATTTGTTTTCATTTTATAAATACTATAAACTCTTAGAATTTTGGGTAAAATGGTTTTATACATGATAAATAACTCTAGATAATGCTTAAGTAGCAATAAGAAAATACTTGCAATTACGACCAAAACTCATAGTAGAGGAAACTTTTGAAATATTCTGCATATCATAATTAAAAAAAAAAAAAACATACATAGTTATTGGTACTTATATAAAATTAATCTTTTTCGGTCTTAGAGGAATAATTTTTAAATAAATAATAAACTATATAAAGTCGATAAACTGATGCAGTCTACTATGATATTTTTTTGAAGATTGAACTAAACAATTTAGGATTTACGGAATGGAATTTTAAATAATTATTTATAATAATTATATGCGTCGTACCTATGATGTACAAGGACAACAAATCTCGGCGTGGCTTCCTGTTAATTTCTTCTTATTTACTGTTAAACATGATTTCAAGTCTTATAGAATAAATCAACAGGACTCTTTTGTGATGTACCTATATTATTATTTTAAAACTATTTGTGCCTATATTATATTATTATATTATGCTGTAGGCATATTCTTGGAGTTTTTAATTTATTTTTGTTAAAAATTAATACTATTGAAGAATAACTGCATTAATGCATAATGAATAAAAGTGGGTCAGTGGTGAGCAAGACTTATGTGATGAATTTGCCCTGAGGCAATTTTCTGTTTGATTTAATGGATATAATTGTATTTTTATGTTCTTAAGAATTACGTTAGAATATAATTTATGTATAGTATGTAGCTATAATATATTTTTGTGTTATTAAGTTTAATTTTTATGGATAATTAAACAAATTATTAACCAATGTGTATAACATATTTAATTACTGTATCATTAATAAAATCTAAAAGGATAATTGAATATTATATTGTAAAATCTATAAAAAATATATATTTATAAAGTTAATGAAATATTTTATTTTGAAAAATATATCTTTTTATATTTAATAAAAAACTTATTTATTTACATACATTACAATATCTTATAAATAGGTAATACATCATTGGAAAATTGTATATTTATAAAATTAAATATTTACTAATATCTTTTACCTATTTAAATAAAAATTTTAATATTTCTATTAAATTTAAATAAATATTTAAAAAAATAATAAATTTATTTAATTTTATTTAAAATAAATTATAAATTTGTGTATAATATATATTTGTTTATATGTCAAGTAATAATATTTAATTATCTATTTAATAATATAATATATAGTTGTTATAGTTATATAATAATACATTAAATATAAATAAATTATCCAAAAAATAAAATAAATAAATTTTTTCTTATAAAATTAAAAAAAAATGGATTAAAAAATAATTTTTTGATATGTTCACTATTATTATAGAATTTCCAAATAAGATAAATTATACAAAAAATGTTTCTCAAGTATCTTTCTAAATGGTACGGCTTTACCATTTACATATAATTAAAAACCATACAATTTAGTTATTTAATTTTTAACTAATAAATGATAAAACAAAGTGAAATCTTTAAAAGATTTATTCTCAAAATGTAGTAGGATAGTTATACTTTTAAAATTTAAATGAATGTAATAAAATTATACATGAAAATAACCAAAAGTTTTCGTCGGATGACATATTACTTTCCTAAAATAAAGAAATGTTTGTAGGTATATTTGCAACGTTTGAAAATAAATTTTTTCGCTCTTGGAATTAATTTTAAATTACGCATTTGATTTCTTTTTTGTAGCGGATGCATAAAATACGCCGAAGAAAAGTGAATAGTAAGAAGGAATGATAAAAAAACCAACGAAGAAAGAAAAAACTGAATTCAACCTCTACGCTCCAAGGCATATCATCAGATAAAGCGGTTAACTGAAAAAAAGCAAAAAAAAATTTCTCAACGTCCTATTTATTGGTTGAAATACGTTTTTTGTCTTTCGTATTATCATTGTGTTACATACCTACGTGAAAATATTATATCAGTGAAAAAAAAAATACTAAGAAAAATCACTAAAGGAAAAAATAGAAATAAATAAGTCGATATTTTACCAATCTACGTGATGCATAACAGAATGAATGAAAGCAGTATAGGGATAAGAACCAAAAATATGTTACAGAAGGAAAAATCGATTCGTTTCGTTACTATAATCATAATTATATTACACATATATTATGAGATGATAAAAACAAAATTAGACGCCTACGTGTTGATCAGATAACAATATGTTAAACTGTTAAAATTAAAACCGTTTCTTTTCAAAAACCACTTAGATAATATTTATTTTTTCTTTACGCACGTACGTATCATCAAATTGATGTGTAATTTTTTTTATTTCAAAATTCAACAAATATTATAATATATATGACTATTAAAAATACTAGGGTGCAAAAAATGTTTCGATGTCGTGTATGGAGTTTGATAAAAATAGTTTAATCTCAATTAAAGTTATGTTTAAATTTTTAAAGTGAAAAAAATTGATTATGTAACAATATGTGGATAAGAAAAATTTGTTTAAATTAATTAAATTTACTAATCAGATCACAAAAATAAATTCATTTTTGATGTACCTATATAAAATAATATAAAGTATAAACCAAGAAATATCAAAAATACGTCAAAAAAAACTTGCATAAAGCATAAAAATTAAACTTGAAACTCGTAAATAATATATAATATGTAGAGATAATTTTAATAAATCCTTATATCTTTGAATATTTTGTTAAATACGTAATTTAATTTATAAATCAAATGCATTTAAAGTTTTGTATCATTTTACTCATTTCTTCGAGGAATAATAAAACATTGTTTAATCACGACCAATTTATTTAATAAATTTGATTATCAATTTATTTAGATATTTAAATTTAAGTTGTTTGTAAAGGTATAGGTACTCTAAATAGGATATTGCAGTGATAAGGAATTCTTGTTTATTTGGCATATGTTTCTAACTATACTACAATATTTTTGTTATAAATTAATTGGAATGTAATAAATTATAAACGTATCTTACTATAGTTGGAGTAAAATTGTTGTATAATTATATTTACAATTGGGGAAATTATCAAGAAAATCGAAAAATTATTTATCTCCCACTTAATAACGATACACGATTTTCAATAATCAGAAATCATACGAAAATTATTGCATAGGATCAACAGCACACAATTAATTATATATAAAAAGTAGAACATTTTTAGGACTAATACCGTTAGTTATTGATATAGGTACATAACTAGGGATATAGTCAAGTTTAGATATCTCATATTTCGAGGGGGATAAAAATAAATTAGATTTCTGTATTTATTGAGTTATAGTAGCACGTAGGTATAAAATATTTATTCTTATACAGCATTGGGTATTTATTAGGTCTGTTTACCTTAAAAAGTACTTTAATTAATTAGTGTTTTCATTTAAAATAATTTAAGGTGTTCTTAAATATGTATACATTAATAATTTATATCACACACCACTTATATACATATATTGAATAATAATCTGTTTCAAAAGTCTGTTCAAAATTGTATATATAATATCCTACTGCCATATGTAGTAATTAAAGATGATCTAGTTGCAATATGTTTGCTCACGCGCGCTCGCGCACAGCGCGAGAAAAATGCGAAAAGACTAGAGAACAAAAATGAAATAAAATATTATCAATCAAAAGTTCGCTCACTTGTGCCGTTTGAATTCTTGCTCAGGATCTTCGTACCGGAAGAATGTTCCGCCGGTGCGCCGACCGCAGGGGACGTGCCGCAACAGTTGCCCGCGCCGTTACCACCGTTGGTCGGCGGTGTGCCGGTAGACCGAACTTCGGCGCTTTCGTTGACTTCCATAAAAATTACAACGGCCGGTGAATAAATAGCGTTCCGTGCAGTCCGCAAGAACGCGATTCACGATGACATTATGTCGAGTAAAAGAAAAATATAAAAATTATAATATGAAAAAAAAAAAAAAAAGTGAAAAAAAAATTTAAAAAAAAAAAAAAAAAATCGATAAAAAATTAAACACAAACTCATACGATAATATAATTCGATTCGAACGTAGAGGTCTGTGGACGAGCTATAAAATGTTATAATAATAATAATATAATGATTGGTAAATAATATTTTATCGTTTGATACAATATGATTGTGATAATAGTGTCGAAAGTCGAGCGATGGTTTGTCGACCGGCGTCGTAAGCGTCCGACGGTTAGCGGGCCCGTGACGATTGCCGCATGGCGACTCGGCGAGATACTCGAGGGAAAACGCGTAGCGTTGCGCCGCCGCCGACGCCACCGCCAGGCGTCCGCCACGCCATCTGCTGGTTGGGACGACGGCGGTAAACGCCATCTCTTTAACCGCTCGACCGGACTGCAACCGTAGTTGTATATAGGTACTAGTAACCGCCGAGTGGTCTTAACCGTTTAAAATAATTAAAATAATAAATATTATTTACGTAATAATCACGACCTCTATCGTGTACCTACCTATACGATAGCCATTATTTCCACTTACAGTACGTCATAACGATATTGTGTTATATGCGGGATAATTCTTTTATGTAACACTAATTGTTCAAAATCTTTTTACATTATTTATGAAAATATTTTTTTTTTTTACAAAATTTCCAATTGAAATAAAAACAAACGGTTTTTTATTTAAATATTTTTATCGTTACAACTTTTTAAGTTTTTTTTTCTTTTTTGAATGACAACATACATTTTTAAATTCATATTATGAAGCAGAATAGTTTTCGGAGAATTTCAATCTAAATTCGGGCGAGTAGTTTTTTGGTTATATCTACCTCATAAACTACTCTCATCCAAATTTCAATTTTACGTAAAAGAAAATTAAAAAAAAGTATTTCCAATAACATTAGAGGACTTTGAAATAATGAGTGTTGTTTGATAAAAGAATCACCTATTATGTATATTGAATGGCCATTAGGTATGAATACATACTAGTGGTTTTCAACCATGTCATGTGAGAGTAGGTACGCTGTACGCAGTTCTATGCGTTTAGGTATTTAAGTAATAGGTTCTATTTCAACTATAATATTTATATTCTATAATTCTTAGGTATTTAATTCGAACGATATTGTTTCAGGTTTAGATTTCATATCTTTTATACTAAAGGTACCTGATCTGTAGAACAGTAAAAAAGGCTAATTTAATATAGTAATCATGATTTGATTCAAGTTATATGATTCAAAAACGTTTATAATTTATCAATGTATCTGTACTCGTGTACATATCGATAACAGTAACATTAACTATATGGTAAATTTAATAATATAATAATAATAATTATTATTATTATTATTATCCCCTCCCCATAGTTTGGGAAACACTGTTATAGACAATGGTAGGTGGGTTTTAAAAAAAAAATATTTTTCCCTCCTCTTACCATCACAAGCGCACCGGGGACGGGTGAATCGAAGTGCATCGGCATCGTACAAGAACGCCGCCGTGCGAATGGCAGGGGGACGGCTATTATTTAATATATTATGTATATATATTCGATCGTTGACGGGCGGGCGAATGGTATGATGGGTGGCGAGTGGTTGTGGGGGGGTTGTCATCGTTGAGAAACCGGACTTGAATGGGCAGGAGAAAAAATTAAATGAAAAAAAAGACCGTTTCGGGAAAAGAGACTACAGCGGGGAATATTATCGTATACGCGAAAACAAAAAAAAAAGGCCGAAAGCGGTTTTTCGGCGCGGTGTGTAATAAAAATATAATATTAATTGAACGACTAGGGAATAGAAGACGGGAGGGAAAAAATAATGATTAAAAAAAATTGTGGGCATAGAATGTCGTGATCCCGCGGGAGAAAACGTCTAAGAACAAAGGGTTGTGAAAAAAAATAGTCCGTTCGTGACTACACACGCTGGTTGAGAATTATGACGTGTTCGTTATTATGTATTATTATACGGTGCAAACGGCGAAACGAAAAATTCTTCGCAATAACGTCTTTTGTACGTATGTGCAACAGAACGGTTTATTTAAAAAAAAATAAAAAAATATTTGTATGCACATTTATTATTTGCAGTGGGCAAACACATATAAATAAAATACCTTCTAGACGATCTACAATGGAGTACGTTGGCGTCACTTATCAAATACATTTAAACACTACAGTAATTACATATTATTATGCGTGTCATATGTAGGACGAGAATTTTCAAGTATTTATTTACCTTTTTTTTTTTGTTTTTGAACGGTTCTCAATAACCGTTTGCAATGTATTAGTAATAATGCGTTGAAAACGAATGCGCGTCTTACCGGATTGTGGTTTGGCGGCTTGACAATCCCTCTTTTGTACGTTTTTGTCTATACGTCTAGATATCTGCAGCGAGGGACGAGCGTTTAAAGCGGTGGATAATGAGACTACCTTCAATAAATACAATGCGTTTCGATGTGGAAGCTGGCATCCGTGTTTTCGACGCCGGCACGCCGCGTGTTGCGTTTGGATCCGGTTGACGAACGACGGAATGTTGCGCACCGGACATTGTGCGGTCACCTGTATATATTTATACAGGCACCGTCGTATATATTTATATTTATCAATGCGTGTTACGTATTTTCAAATTGCTCACACTTCGTACACACTAGTAACATTTGCGTGTAACATAACGTAACAGCAATACGTGTGTGGACGTAAAGGCGTAACAAAAGTTGATACGCGACAAAGTTATATCGCGTTCTACGAGTTGTTGGAAAACTCTAGTCGCATAAAAAGATTGTTGCCTGGAGAGATTACGAATAGTGCGTCTACGTTACGTTACGTGCAAATGTAATAAGCGTGTATGCAGCTTTACATCTGTTTACGTTTTTATTTTCAGTTTAAAATAAACAACGACAATAATGTAGTTGAAGCGCACAGAGTCCAGTGTTAATTAAATATGTTCATATTAAACAGCTCTACTTATACGGCACTTAAATAATCACTCCCCTTGAATATCTATCAAGCTTCAGTATTACAGTTTACAATACTTATAAAGAGAAATTTTTCAAACACGTTTTTATGCTAAAATTATGAAATAAATCGTTAAAATTTTGGTTTTAAAACTGTCAAGTATCATAAATTATATTTATGTTGTAGATATTATATTTTTAAATAAGTTTATTAACAGATTTCAACGCACTATTTGCTTTTTTCCCCGGTCCACGTACAACAAAAAAAGTTTACGTTCCACAGTATAAATGTCATGTTGTTCGATTTTACATTTTGGTGAACTCGCTTATATTATTAATCTTAGTGTAAGTTAGGGAATATTATTGGTGTTCGTACATTGAGTTTTTTACGTTGGTGCTTAAATTTTTTGCGTTATGCAAGCATTGTTAAATTGTAATATTGGCTATCATTTTTTGCAGATCAACTGACAGGAAATATTGTAGTTACCCACTCGTAAGTAACGCAAAGAGGATAACGTCGATCGTTTTTTTTTTTGCAGCATCCAATTTTCGATCATACCGTTTTAACGTCACTGTTCACCCAAACTGAGTTTACAGTATTTGCAGACCACAGTGTACTATTAAAAAAACTCGGTCGTTGCCAGCCATTTTATATCAGCGCGCCGTTCGATTCTTGAACAAACCATTCGTGGGTCGTCGTCCGTGAGTTTTTTTATTAATATAGTAGTGTGCAGTGTGACGAAATTTTAGCCAAACAAATTTTTTACCATTATAATATTGATGTGATATTTTAGTTACGACTTGCGAGTAGCAAATATAATTCTAGATTCGACGAAACTCGTTACTCGTTTAACGGGGATTAAGAGTTAAAGGTAACACAGCTAAAGCTTAGATAAAATTTCAATTTAATGTCATACATTTGAAATATATTTTTAGATATGAAAATTTTTATGCATTTTGAGATTTTTTTAAATATACGAGTATGTGCATTAAAACACTATTTTAAAAATAAATTATATATTGTTTTAAATTTAATTAATTAATTGGCTTAATAACTAAATGTTTTTGTTATAAATTTACTATAAATACAAATATACATAATATTTAACTTGAATTAAAATTGACTAAATCATAGTAGGTTAAGTTTTTTTAACTTTTATTAAAAGAATAATTATTATGCGTTAGGTAAAAAAATAATATTTTATTGATTATACTTAAGTATATATATATAAATTATGACTCTAAAAAATTAATTAACTAAAACTGTACAGAAATCTAGCAGGTAAATCTATTTCTATGGATTATCATAACAATAATATCCACATTTCAATGTTATTAATTTAGACTTAATCCATTATTACTGATAAAACTTAACTATTCTTCTATCAAAAATCAAAAACATAACCTGTCCTATTTAGGTTGATTTTTACTACATTTTTAATGATTTTTTTTTTTTAAATAGTATACATTTTAACATTTTCAAAATAAATTTCATAACATTTTGTTGAAATTTTTGAATTTTATTTGAATGAATATTATAAACTACATCGAAGTACATGACAATATCTATATTAATTAATATGAAGATTCTTAGGCTAAGCAAAACTTTTTAGACATAGGAATATAAGTAACGTATAAAAAAGGTTATTTTAATTTTAAATTATAATATATGTTTAAAAATATGATATTGCCATACTTGCAGAAAATAATAATTACAGTAACTTTTATCATAATTTATCATTCATAAGTATTAGTTTTAAATATGGTATATAATTAAATAAAAAAAACAAATTCCACAAATGTAAATAGTCTGTTATTTATTTAATTTTGAAAATCAATAAGAAAATATCACGGATTTAGAAAATATAAAATTATTTAAATTCGATGTCCAGTAAGTAAAAATAAATAATTGATTAGAAAGTAAGTTTCAATCATAATAATGGTTAATTAATAATTAAATAAATTATAATAAGTGTAATCTAGAGCGATTGTCTACCCTTTTCTTATGATATGTCTGCATGTCAAGAAAAGGGGTAATTAAGTATCCATGAGTTAACATAAAAAATTCGTTTATGACATCAACAATATTTCAATTTAATCCATACGTCACTGAAAGCGTGCGCAAGAGCTCTAAAAAACTTATATGTGTACAATACCGAATGCCGATATATTATAATACATACGTGTTAGTGTGGACGTGTATCTAATGTAGTGTAAGTGCGGCACTGATCTACTGCAGATGATGTGGAAATTCTATCTTGGTATAAGTGTGCATTGGGAATAATTACACTATCCATCATCATTCGTATAGATGTCCTGCAGAGAATTAATAATAACAACAACACCCTAATGCGTTTACCGAGCCAGTGCTTTATTTCTCCCAGACCACTGTATAGATTTGTAGACAATTATAATGTAGGTATATAATACGATACGCTGCAGCTCCGGATAAATGTATACGAATAAACGGTATATATACTTAGTTAATAAAAAATACATTGCTCAAAAAACATTTGGATAATCCTTCAGTACGTTCATCGCTAACCTAACGGCTGTGTTAAACGTGCGAATGTCATATTATACATTCATATTCTGCTAATATGATCTAACCCATCCACCCATTCAATTTGCGCAATTATCCTCAAGTACCTATATATACATAATTAGCTCTGGATATTACGCATGCTGAAATATTGCATAAAAACTGTAGGACCTTAAATACCGAATGTTGACCAATTTATTTAAAACGCGGTATACAACGTCCGTTTTTTCCGTCGAAAACTTATGTAGAATTTCTGATAAATCCACAAAAGAAGACGTATTATACTGCTCTTCAAATTAGTAAGTGAGTGTACCCATTATGTTTGATTACAAATTTATTATACCTATACTAAGTAGTAAGTACGCAAAAACCGTCTTGCTGCAATGACTGAATTCATGAAATGACAATACACTCGTCAGACGTGCAGCCACCACAACAAAAACGCATGTTTGTGTATTCAAAAACTACGGTGGTAAAACAGACGTATGCACAAAGACAAACGTCTAAGAATTGAACGGTAATAAATAAACGTTTAATATAATGTTTTAAACGATATTAATAAAGTAAAATTATTATATATAAATTATCTTCGTTGTAATTGTTTTCGTTTTAAAACGTTAGACATATTGTGTGATTTATATAGTGGCATTTTAATATCGGAAATGACTATAGAAACTATCGGAAAATGTAATAACAGTAGTTTGAACTTAAATTATGTTAATTGATGATGGCTATGATGTTTTTAAATATATATTATTACATATCATCAATAATTAATATTTAAAAATGATTGTAAAAATTAATAATTAATAACAGTACATTTTTATAAATTGTAAAGATTGAATATAAAAATATGAAACATTATTTTATGAAATGAATTTAAAATAATAATATAGTGGTAGGCATAAAATATTATTATTTATTAGGTTATAATTATTTATATGTGAAATGTCGTCAGCGTTGGTATTTATCTATCTTTAATTTTAAGCCTCTTATACATTTTAACACAATAAGTAGTAATAATATTCATTACCTATTATAAATTAACATTTAGAAAAAAAAATGGGGTTATATCAACACGCGGTCGTGACTATACGCTGCGGCTAAGAATTATAAAAGGTTCCTGTTTTATAAAAGGCCTGGGAAAGAAGAAAAAAACATGGTAATACATTGTTTCTTTCGAACAATGTGCGATCGTAAAAAATAGTCATGAAATATATTTTTTTGGTAAGCACTAAATAAAATTATATTAATATGCATATGAAAAATAAATATTCATAAAATACATTTTTTTCTAAGATACAAAGTTTATAGTATTTATACTACGACTGAAATTAATTCAAAATATTAGTTAAGAATTGTATAATAACATACGTTGCAACAAGAACTCATTAAACTATTTTTATAATTTAAAACCCAAAGTGAGATTTAGGTAGTTAATATTTTACGGTAGATTAATTTACGGAAAAACAATTCAAATACTGGTTATGTTGTAGTTTGAGATCTTGAGGAATTAAAATTAAGTATATATTATTTAATATGTTTTATATTAATACGTTTCTTTAACATTTTTCATCTGTTATCTAAAATTCAAATCAATATATATATATAATAAAATTGTTGTATTTTTTAAAAGTAGTAAGGATCATTATTTAGGTTAAAAATTTAGAATTATTAATTTAGTCCATTTAGTCTTTTCTATGGGCATATTTTCGAAGGAGGATGGATTATGATAAACGTATTTTCATAAAATGATTCAGATATAGATAAATATGATTTTGACAAAATAGATATAAAATTTTTAATTTGTGATTGATTAAAGCGTCTCATCAGTGATTATGTCGGAAAGCATAACTATTAATTAATAGGCTTAAAATGTAACAATTTGATAATTTATACTATTTTTATAATCATTACAAACATTTGTATTATTGTATCCATTGTGAAACTAATGAGTAATAACTTACTTATTTCATTTTGTGTATTAAATTACGAAAAAATGGTTTTATTATTAAAAATATAAAAATAAGTTGATAGTTTGATACTCGATATTTACATTACATGGTCACTGAACCGGAATAAAAATATACTAATATAGACGATACTTTACCAATAATTGCATATTATTTTGTACACTAAGTAAAATAATACAATCATATTTATAAAATTTATTTCAAACAATTATTGGTCCATTTTGCACAGTTTATTATTTTTATTTAGACCTGCGTGTGTTTTATAACTAATAGTGATATTCTCTTATCTCTTTATGACCTATGTATTAGGGATAGATTAGTTACTAGTATTAAGTTAAGTTAGTGTCGGTGAGCGTTATATTTTTTTAATTTAAAATTTTTATGATTTGTATAAGAAAAAAAAGTTAAAAATATTTAAAGGATAATCTACCTATGTAATATTTAAGTATTTATTAAAAAATTGCTTTTTGTAAAGTTTTAGTAGTCCATTTTCTCAAAATCATATAATGCGTATTATGTGCTATACCTAATTGGTAATTAATTTTCCATTAATACTATCTAATGGAAAGCGTCTAAATTTAACATAAAATAAAAACATTTAATTTTATTTTTGAAAAGTAAAATTCTTTTGAATAATTCAATTATTCTTGTATGGAACTTTATAATTTTCATAATGTGTATTATGTTGCGTCGACAGATTTTTTAGGAGTACGTTTGTTGCCTGTCTTCATTGATTGGTCGTTGCCAGTAGAGCGCTTGCGTGATATAGTAGAATACATTTAGGAATTTAAGAATAGATAGGTTATAATTTGGCTCAAAATTGATTAAAATTTTTAAAATAATAAAATATTATCTATTTTTAATTTTTTTATTGGTCAAGCATCAATTACACAGGTTATTAGCTTTACAAATGTTAAATTTTTACATTAAGTTTGTTATATGATATTGAATAATTCCATTTTTTTTTAATATAAAATTATGTTTTGAAAGTTTGAAAACGGATCATTTGCTTTATACAGGTTGTTTAGGATGAATAAAATAATATCTACCATTTTTAATTAGGAGGTACCTCATTGAATTTTATTTTGTTAACATTTTAGTATAATTATATTTTTATTTGTTTTTAACTACAACATGGTTTACATAATATTATCAGTTAATATAGCAGATAATAAACAATTTATTGTAAATACATATATTTGGTGGTAGATTTATTGTATGTAAGAAGTGGTACAAGTTGAGTTACTGAAGTGTGATTATTTTTAGTTAAATATATTTAATATCGGTTTTATTGTATTTATATGTGACTGAGACGTAAGAAAGTATTTATTAAAAAAATATTACATAGGTTCTGGCTCAAAAATGGTTCTGTGCAATATGTTCAACGGCTATAGTGACCGTAATAGTTGCCTTGACAGTATTGTCTCCATCCATTATTTGGATGCCATCTCCACATAGACTCCGGATGATACCAGTAACCCTCGTCACGATGGTATATCCACCCATAGTTTTCTCCAAATCGCCTACCGCCAGGTGATGGTCGCGACGGTCTTGGATATGACCGGTATTTACTATGGCTCTTTTCAATGTCGTCACGATCGCACCACACTTGATGCAAGACCAATAGTACAAAAACGATCTAAAATGGTATATGTTATATGAAAATGATAAAAACCTTGAGTTCCAGTATACAGGATCACAAAAATTGTGAGTCGGATAAAAACCGCTTAGAAAAAGAATATTCACCGAAAACTTAATTTTATTTTGAGTAGACGGAATTTCGAGAAAAAAAATAGAAAATTTTTAGTATTTTTTAAAATATTAAGACTAAAAAAAGATTACAAAAAAGAAATACTTAAAATAAATTATCAAAAAAATAAATTTTGTTGTAATTTAAAAACTAATATTAATGTAGAGACTTGAAAAATTCATCAAATAATTATTTTTTAAGTATGATAGATTTTCTAAGACATTTCAGCTTTTTTAAATTTATTTATATGCATTTTAAATGTTTGATTTTTTCAGTTTTATTTGACTTATATGTGATCTAATTTTTGCTTATGAGGAAAATATTTTAAATATTTAATAAAAGGTTTCAAACTTATATATGTAATTAGTTCAAATATTGTTCTTGATTTAAATAAAAATAGTAACACTTGTTAACAAGACATTTTTTATTTTTTTATATGTTCGATAAAAAATTATTTGTTGGGTCAAAATTATTGGTAATTTAATAAAATATTCCTCATAAGTAGTATATTGAAACCATAAAATTTCAAAATATAAAAAGATAATTATTTTATATAGATATTTTAAGTTTGAATTTGGACAAAATAATTACTTATATTCAAAGAATGAATAATGATGTTAATCATTTTTTTATAATTTAAAAACATTGTTCGTATGAATTTGTCTATTTAACATATATTACTTATTATGAATTTTACTACATATAATGTCATTCTTGATTTATTTTAAAATGTTTTTATTTACTTTTATTATGAATCTATTTTAGCTGTTTTATGATATTCACATTATTGAATTCCATAAATTAATGATCAAAACAATAAAATAAAAAATAATTCAATAATATTAATATTAATATTATTGAATATTTAGTTGTATAAGTTGATTTAATTTGTATAAATATATATTATTATAATTATTAAGTACTAATAATATAATAAATGCAATATTTTCGGGAAAAATTGTATTAACCTACTGTAATATTAAAGGTAAAATAAATTAATTTAATATAGCTACACATATCAAGAAAACATTATGAAATATACTTGGTAATAAAGACTCTGTGTCTTTGTCAGACTGTTTCCACTTTAGAATCATTTTTTGTATTCAATGATATTTCATTGTTATATAATTTTAATACATCCATAATAGTGAAACTCTCGACACTTAATATACATAACAGTGGTACCCAATTGCTAACATTTTAAATGTTAATTTTGTTGATGTGTGTTATTTTTAATTTTAAGATTACTATTAGCTATTAAATATGAACACATAATTATATTTAAATTTAAAACTACACAAATAATATAATACACAATAAATACTTAACAGGTATTTATTTTTTATAAAATTTATATTTTTAATATTAATTTAATTGTAAAGTAAACAAAGTATATTTTTATTCCTGTACTATAATAATGTCAGTATTGGTTTTAATTTTATAGAGTTGGTTTGTATAGACATATCACATGAATAAATATACTTGTATACACATATATATAATATTATTTTAAAATTCTTATAAATATGTGATTAATCTATCTGTAATATTTTTTACAAATCATACTTACCGAAAATATTAAGATTCTTTTCATATTGTATTTTATTGACCATCAGGTGATAAAACGTGTCTTGCTGTGTAAACTGTGAAAAATGATCTGAAAATTTCACGAACATATTTTTTTTTTATACGTAGGTACTTATAACAATGAGCATCATAAAAAAGTTAACCTTGGAAATCAAAACAATCCAATTAAAAATACCAACCGGGATGTATTTTTTTATGTGTAATTATACTATATAATTATTTGTAAAATAGTCTTTATATAGGTAGAGTATTTTTGGAAAATTCAAGACTTTGTAGAATTGTACCTAAATAAATTCGTATAGTTTTTAAAAATAGTAAATTATTGTCACTCGGATAATATCATACTATTATTTATGTAGTTAGTGAGCGCGTCATAATTAGGTATTAGGTATGGACGTAATATTCATAATAATTATTATTATAATTAATATTAAAAAAAATGCAGAAATACATCATTACTGTATTATAAAGCAGTAATAATGATATATTTGTTATTTACGTTCACCTTACATTTGTAATAATTATTTTATTACTTTTTTAAAAATAATTATACATGTATGTATTCTATATGTTTTAAATTTGTTTAAAATATAATAATTTACAATATGTGTGTAGTAAACATTAAGTACAATAACTAAATTTGACAGAGATAAGGAATCAGAAGGCGTGAGTGGGGTAGTTCCTAGTTGCGGCACCCCAAATGATAATATTAGATTAAAAAATCTGATAAGTATCCACTATATGGATAATTAAAAAAATTATGAGATATGAAGTAAAAATAGAAAAATAATATCATTATTCGACGCGCCGCTTCTACTTTAGTAATTCGCAGTTAGCGGCTACAACTTACGAAGGTTAGAGGATGACAAGGTGATCATATAATTGACATTACCAAAAAAATTTGAGCGTTATACGCAATAATAAATATATTTAACAAATATTTATTTTAATGTTTAATGTTTATATATGTATAAAATATTATGGTCATTTGATTTCAAATTTCAAGTAAAGAACTAATAAATGAGTAAACAAATTGTTAGTAATTATGAAAATATTATTCTATAATCAATGCTACTACGTTTGACATATATATATATACTTACATTTGTTTCAAATGAGTCTTAATATTTTTTTTTTATACGTTTTAAACTTTTTATGGTTATTCATAATTTATAATTTATTAATTTCATTTTTTAGTAAATGTATTAAATATTTTACTTCTCTTTTGTATAATTTTAGTTTACCTATGTAGTAGGATGAGATTTAATCTTATTTTCGTTAAAATTTAGATATATACCTATTTAGATTTAATGAAACAGTAGGTATTTATGTTTGATATGAGAATTGTTATTTTACAAATATTTTAAATGGTCCTAATAAATAAAAGTAGTAATTTTATAACATAAATTATTGCATATAGAGTTTAATATAATAATATTGTTATAGATTGTTTGGAATTATGTATTTACAAGTATACGGACACTAAAACAATGTATACATTTTACAAATTAATGCCTTCGCAATACATTATTATTATCATTGTGCAAAATGTGGACTATCCAAGATTTTTTTATTAAATTATATTGCACGGATAAATGTATTTTATAAAACCACTAGCTAATTTTGCACGGCGTTGTCTATGATAAATTAAATGCCTATGGATTTACTCCTCCTTAAACTCCGTTAATATAAATTGTACATATTTTTAAGGTAAAAGATTTTATTATTTGTGTTATAGAGTGTATATTATTAATTAAAAAAAAAAAAATCCTACTAAGAAATAATGTTTTTCATTTTTCCGATTATTATATTTTTTAACCCCTTTTTTACCCTTAGGAGATGCATTTGAAAAATCTCTTCCTAATGAATTTCTACTTCATAAAACAATACTAATAATTAAATATCATACTCATAGCTCCAGCAATTCCGACTAGATGATGATGAATTAGTAAGTCAGCCATCAGGATATGTTATTTTATATGTATAGATAGGTATGACCATAAGTATTTATTTTGAATACATAAGTAGTCAAATAATTATAAACCATAAAAATAATTGATTTTTTTTACACATATTTTATTTTTCAAGAGAATATTTTCAACATCTATAATATTAAAAATTGTAATTCAATAAAATCTTATACAACCTTATACACTAACACATATAAATATAATATATATATTATATTAAAACTCGTTATCACTCGTACGTCTAGTTAATGACACATTATTGGTATTGATTTTGATTTATACATGTTCATATTTTGGACAACAATAATGCGACGATCGTTAATAGTTGTTATTTATAACACGATACACTTAATATTATTATATATTTTATTACATTAAAATTTACTTTCCTATTTTTTTTTTTCATAAGTACTTAACAATGTTAAATAACATTTTACGCTTTGACTTGATTATAGAAAGCACCATTACTAAACCGTAAAAAATGCTTTTTTATAATAAAATGATTTTGATTTTTACACTCTAGCCAGATTTCAGAAATCTTAACCATAATAATGTACCTAACTCAATGCTAACATTTATAACAAACAATAAATCCAATCAATAATAATAAAAAAAAAAAAATAAACAAAAAAAAAACATAAAAATTTGAAACAAACTTACTGAGTACACTAATCGTTTATAATGCTTTTAATTAATTAATAATCGATTATCCTGCACGATTACTTTAATATGCGGTTATAAACCCACAGAGTATCTCGGCAATAAAATCAAATGAAAGTTTTATTTTTACTTTTAAAAATCACTGACAGCTTACTTAAAAACTTAACTTTACATAAATTTACAAAGTGCAAAAATATTTTCTGTGTATGGTGCTCACACATTACGTGGAATTTTCCATCACGAAGATTCAATATTTATTTATTTTTAAATTTTAACTATGACTAATGGCGCCTTTGTCTAGGTACATAATGAATGGAGCGCGAGAACCTATATTAAAGGTTTCAAATTTCAACTATGAGGTTTTAAAATTTAAATCAATAGAAAACTTTTTCCGTTTGTTTACCTACATTTGCATCTGATGTTACTGAAATTAGCAACGATATTATCGAAAAGATAATTCTATAATATATTACAGATACATGAAAATAATAGATGGAAAATAGAAAGTTGATTAGATAGGTACAAGAACAATAAATTGACGTTTAAAATATTTAAAGAGTTACCTACCTATATAGGCAATACCAATTAAAATTACTATAAAGACATTTTCTGTTAAGTCGGATATTTTTTTTTAACGACTACCTTTATGTATTGACATTAATCATAAAATTGATTGGCTTAAGATTTTTGAAAATTTCATAAGCTGTTTATTTTATTTAAAAATTTGCTCTTTTATGAATTACTCAGATTACGTAATGGCCTATATATTTTAAAATGTTTTTTATTTGTAACAGATCTTAATTTGTGTGCATACTACATATTTACTTTTATAAACCATACAATCAAAATAATTTCATGCATGGTCGAAACAAACAAAAATATTCAAAGTAAGATGTCAGACTTTTGGTTATTTTCTTTTTTACAGTAATATAAATGTCAAATGATTATATGATACAATATTTAATATTAAATATATATAATTTAGTGATTACTGATTTAAATTATTAAATGAGATTTTATTTTAAATTATTCGTATTTTAAACCTGTCCAGTTCATCTTAATGGTCAGCGTTACAACCAACGTGTACAAGATTATTGCATAATTAAGTGAACCAGGTATTAATATTAAAAAAAAAAATCACATTTTAAGCATTCTTTACTGGCAACTAATATTCATGTTATACATTATGATATAGCGTAAAATGTGTTAAACAACACAAATTAATAATATTATCTTATCGATTAAATTATATAAATTGTATATATATATATATATATATATATTTATATAAACCTTAATTTTAAATTAAATATTCCTATTAAGTATATACTTTCGATCGGGGGCGGATGTTTTTATACAAAATTAGACTAAACGATTCAGCGTATTATGCCAGGGGACGTGAAAAGTTTTAATCTGACGTAAATGGGCTACAGGAGATAAGACAACGTTAGATGAATTAAATATAGTTGGTGTATCGTATGACGTTTGTTCTATACACACGCGTCTTACATATGATGCAAGTAAACGTGATGTGTGGGTTTCTATTTTCAAAAATAATTTAACCGTGACCATTAGACCACAAAGATGCGATTGTATAACTGGACATAAACTAATGACGGACGGAAAAAGACGATGGTCAGTTGTTGTTTCTTTATCTTTGATTTCGTCAACTGAATTTGGGTTATATATTATACACACACATACACATAAATATGACAGAAAACAAAAATTCATTAATTGTTAATTAGTTTAAATGATTTAAATAACTTAAACATTTTAGTGGAATTGTGAAAAAAAAACTTTTTTTGTAATATCATGATAAACTTATTTAATTTGATTTATACAAGAACAATAAAATCTTTCATAACGTTGACAAAATGTTTGAAAATTCAGGAACAATGGAATGTTTTTAAAACACCATTTATTTTATAATAGAAATATATGATTGAAGAAAAAATTATATTTGACATATTTTGGTTAGTTTAAGTGTCTTAAATTTTTTCTAGTCCCGTATAAATATATATATAGTATATACATATGTGTGATTTTAAGTTAATGGTCAAATTCATTAATTATCTGTAACTTAACGACTATAAGACATTAATATAGCATTAATCGGGTTTAAAAATCATCGAACCGGTAGCATTTTCGGTCAGAACTTTCCATCTCACCCTGTTTACCATACGGTATGTCGTCACAGTGGCCTTTTGCGCGTATGAATATAATACAGTCTTGATGACAAATAATATAGTATGCACATAAATGATAAAATATGAGTAATTAACATTCGAGAACGATGTTTAATATCTAATACCATATATGGACTTATTAGATAGTATCTACAACAGTAAGTTATATGTTAATTTTTATATAATTACTAAACATGGTTGTTGTGATAATATAACGTAATATAATATTTGAAATTGTGCTTAGACGAAAATTGAATTTTTATGCAATGAAAAACAAATATCGAATGGCACAGTAAACGGTTTGTGCACTTCATATGAATTATCAGTATGATTTGAAAAATATAATATGCATATATTATTCGGAATACGCACGCATACGGATTATATTTGGTGTGATATTTCATCGTCTTGATGGTAGTAAACAAGGCTAAAAACGCGAAAAATAGAAGAAAAAATAAACGAAATTGAGCGTTTGTAATTAATTAATTTAATTAACTCGAATGGGAATGACGAAATGGACAGTGCAGGTTTCAATTCGACGGGTTATGGAAAACGCCGATGGAGTTTCACGTTGACTTCTATGAGGTATAAACATGGCTTTTTATATGTAAGAAAACTCTTGCTCTTCCAATAAATTAAATTTGGATGGAATCGATTCGTGCGCGTCAGACACGCGAATAGATTTCCCCGACAGATTTCGTATAAGGACCCTGTCTCTTTGTATCTGTCAGGTGTGTAACAAATGAATCAAATGGTTTCGTTTAAAGGTAAAATTGAGCATGGAGAGTAGAAAAAAATTACAAAATATCGATTGAGATGGTAATCGATACATAATCATGTGGAGTGGACACCATTTTATAATATTTTATTTATCATATAATTATCGGGAGATCTGGTTGATTTTACTATTAATAATAATAATTGTATCGATGCGAATAAATGCACTTCAAGTTGAGAGAAGATTTAGGCTAGATAATGACTACGTATATAGAGATTCGTGTAAAAAAGAAAGAAAAAAAAAGCGTACTCGATAAACTAATAGAACAAAACAATAATCAAACAGACGAACAAAATCGACCGTAATGGATAATCGTTTGATGCAAAACGGAAATTAAAATACACAGAACGCATGTCATTTATAATCGACGTATAGTGGGCGACAATAATAATAATAATAATAATATAAAAAAAATAATAATAATGATAATAATAATAATAATAATAATAATAATAATAATAATAATAGTAATAATAAAATAAACGAACAAAATCGATCGTAATGGAAATCGTTTGATGTAAAACAGAAATCTAAATACACAGAACGCACGTCACTTACGATCGACGTGTCGAGGGTTACAATAATAATAATAATAATAATAATAATAATAATAATACGACGGCGGCGGTGGTGACGGTGGGTGGCGGTGACTCGGCGTAATAAATTACTTGTCCTCCTCAGTGTCCTCGCGGAACAGGTACGTGGACCAGTAGGACATGTTGAACATGGCGAACACCATCGGGAACAGTATGCGGGATATGACGTCGATGCGCTTAGATCTGGTGGGGAACTTGGACATCCACGACTTCCAGCACGAGTTCTTCTCCATCGGCGGCGCCTGGTGGATGATCTGGCTCATCTTGTCCCGGGACATCATCAGCTCGGGGCGCATCAGCGGTTTCTGCGGAAATACACGGCGCGCGCGCACCGCAACATGCGTTAAACGTCGTTTATGATGCGACGACGACGGCGTGCCTACTGCGAACGCCGATCGGGTCACGAGGGAGGGAGGGGGGTTTGGAATTTTTTTTTTATTTTTTATTTTGCAAGTCTTCCGCTCCTCGCGGCAAACAAGAAAGTTAAAAAAAAAAAAAAAAAATTCCAAAACCCGAGTAACGTATACCGGGCGTCCGAGCGGCGTTCCGATTGAATTATTATATCAGACAACTGCACTATCCTAAGTTAATGTTATTTTTTGAAAAATACTTTTTTTTGAAAACTTTATCAAATAGATCAGGTACCTATCGAAACAAATGATTGCACCACATATCAATGGATCACTCGATATACGTTACTATGTTTGTTACCATTTTCTGCTAAAATCATACATTTCCATTTTCCAGTTGTAAATTATGTTTTTAATCATATATGTCGTTTATAGGTATAAGTGGTATAACGAGTTTAATATAAATTCACGTGTATACTACAATATCACATTATATAGATAGAAATATAGAACTCGTAAATAACAAAAGTCATAAAATCGCCTATTTATATTAGTTGGGTTTGTCTATAACTTTAAATAAAAATTAATAAATTAACTCTATGACTTTAACTTTATAAATTTATTGTTATAGTTAAATATTTATGACGTATGAAATTGACTTCGTGACTATGTAAAAAGAGAAAAATCTTTATAAAAATGATATTATTTTTTTATTTATACATATAAATACCTAAATACTTTTACTATATTAACATTTTTCTTTTAAATTGTGCAATGGGTACGAAAGGGTCGTAATCTCGTCAAGCGGAAACAAGTGATGGTGGAAAAGGAAAAAGTATGATTTTAGCGGAAACGTGGTTTATAAACCAAGTGCAATATACCAGTCACGCACCCAGGAATTTTTTTGTCAAGAAAGTGATTTCATATTTTATTTGTTAAACTCTATACCATGTTAACGTTAAACAAAAAATATTGAAATATTTGATTCATAGTCAATTTAAATAATACAGAAATATTATTGTAGCGTATATAATAAATACACAACTTCTTCATTGTTAAATTTTAAAATTATTTATTGGTTTTTATAAAAAGTTGTTAGAAATCATCTTGAGATAAAATTATATGTTAATTTTATGAATTTATCGTAATTCGAGTATTAAAACCAGCGCTTCCCTTTGGGTGCGCAACTGTATATAAGTATTATATTATATACCTACATGTTATGATTTAAAAACACCGTAGATAAAATAATATATAATACGAATACACGTAAAAGTACGTATTCGTCATTGATACGGTTGATTTAAAAAAAAAATCATTCGGGCTAGTGCCAAGCTTTCGCATTAACCGTGTACAAACATTTCTCAAGCGACATTCACGCTATCCGTTCAGATTTTCGTCATAATTGAAAATATGTTAAAATATGATAGAAAAAATATTCTATTCGGTACGCACATTATTTTTTGATTTTCTGCTTACAGAATTATGTGCACAGTAAACGCGTATTGAGTATCGACCAGTTTGTTTTTTAAAATTAAAATTGGTTTTTCGGGATTTATGACATAACGAGATGGTGGCGTCATGTCGCTTGAGAAACTATTCACCTAAAGGATGCAGACCATGCGGATAGTGCAAACATTGATTCCCAGCTTTTCATTTAAAAATAAATAATGAAAAATGCGTTTGTAAATAAATTAATAACATAGTTGAAAAACTAAAATCAAATTATACTTAAATAAAATTAAACGATTACAGGTATGACGAAATACTGCAGCATCGGTAAATGCATAAATAAACAGTTTGAAAATTTTAAGAGTTTAAAACATCGTGAGGTAGATTCATATTCGGGAACAAATAAATAATAAAAAGAACACAATAAATGCACTACAATATGTACGTATAATATTCTAAATTCGAACTATAACAACCGATAGCTTATTATATTATCGTGTAAGGTATTATTGTATTATTGTATTATAAGGTTTTTTTTTTTAATCTCACTGATTGTTTCTATGTTTATCAATAGGTTGACCCAATCAGTATAAGAAGAAAAAAAACCATTTTCAAACATTTAACAAAATATTACTAATAATTAAATTTTGATTTAATACGTGTCCCATTGTGTAGTGTTTGATCTGTTGGACGTTTGTTCATAACAATAATATTAGAAAAATCAGTATCATAATTTCAATCAACTAACACAAATTTCATCTAATTTGGAATGTAAATATACAATTATGAATTGGTAAGTATTTAATATTATCACATAAGAATTATCGTAGAATAGAATGAAATAAAATATTTTTGCTCTTTCTGTCTTTCGAAAATCGCGTATTGATTTATTCAATTTGTTAAAATTATTTTTAATGTAGAACCAATTATTCATTAATAATTAATGAATGTATAATGTATAATGCTTAGAATGACTTTTTTAATATTTAAATTCATTACCTATTTTAAAAAGTATTAACTTTCACGCGATTTTATAATAACCCCGACTGGTCAAAAGCGTTACACCAAAATTCTAAAAGTTTGAAATATCGACAGTTTAAGATCTTGAAAATTTGAAATTCCGATAAAATAAAATAACTTTTCATATCTTATCTTATAAAAGTTTAATCTACTAAATCCTGAGTGAACAGTTGAAAATTTAAAATGAAGAAATGTATATTGGTGTGTTAATCGTATAGTACTATATTGGTATAGTATCTATATTTAAAAATTTATTGTTATAATATTTGAAAATTAGTATAATTTGTCAAACAATTACATCCATAAAAGGAAAGACTAAAATATGTATCGAGGGATATTTAATGAAAAAACATAAAAATTGAGAGGACTTGTATTACTGGTACTGTGAAAAAATAAAACTAATGGTCTACAAAAGCAAGTTATTAAAAATTAAATAAATTTATTAATCACCCGTAAATTAACGAATTTTAATCGAATTAATTAGATACGTCGTGTACACGTCTTTTGTTTTATAATGAATTTAATATTTAAATATGTTTGGTGATATAGCCGAGATTTTAAACTGTCGGTATTTTAAATTGTCGGTTTTTGAACTGTCGGGGTTTTAAACTGCCGAGATTGTGATTTGTCGGGATTTGGTATGTCGGTATTTTACATTTCGGGATTACGAATGTCGGGATTTTGACCCAGACTCATTTTATACTGCTCTTATTAAGCTTTAGATGTTTGTTAATAAAAAAAAGTAAAAACCGTTCGTTTAACATTCGATACATGCGTAAGTACATATAATACGTTTTTGAATTTAGCTTTACCTAGTAACAATGTAATATAAATTTTCGTTTTAAATCTAAAGTTGATATCGATTTCACTAATAATAGACAATATATAGTATTGTTTATACAATAACAATAATCGCATGATATCATTCTCGTGAGTTTTAAACCTTTCAAAACGAAATTTCAAAAGAAGTTAATATTTTTAGAAATATAGGATGATATATATCATGTAGTAATAAATATATGCGCGTTTTCCGTTAAAACAATATTACCTCGTACATTATGCACACACTATAGGAAACGAGACGAATAATTACATATTTACTTGTAGTTCTCATGGAAAAGACACAGTGTGTGTATGTGTGTCGAAGGAATACTGAACTTAAGTAGTATCCAAACACTCGAAGGGTTAAAGAGACTTGTGGTAGCGGCGGTGGTGTAATGGTGGAGGACTGGAGGAGTGTGTTAGCAAATACGGGTGGGTTATTTAAGACTGAATTGTGATGAGCGTTTGTTAATCCTCAAGAGTTTGCCGTGTGTTTGTGTGTTTGTGTGTGCGAGTGTGTTTGAATCTAAAACCAACGAAAGTAACTGGTCCGTGGTACGATAAAACAATTTAACGAATCGAAACAAAAATTAATAATAATTCATCAATTAAGTATAGTATAATATAATATAGTAACAATAATATTTAATTATGTCGCTATTACGTTGTAAAAAAAAAAAAAAAAATAATAATAAAAGTTAAAAAGTAAGACGAAACGAAATTAAAAAAAAAAAAATAATAAATAAAAATTATGTAGGTAGGTATAAAAATGAAAAACGAATAACGATAAGAATGAAAAAGCTGGAAAGTAAATGAAGCGCTTCGAACGAACCGGGTTCTCCGCGCTCGGTCAATGCTCACCGTACTATTCGACCTCACCATATTGAACGAGTTCGGGCCGTCCTCGTAGTCGCCGACGTCCATGGACACGGTGCGCTCCAGGTCGCACTTTTTGCTCATGTCGTCCCGGTGCGTGTCCGACCGGGACGCGTAGTTGACCAGCGCGAACTCGAGCAGCGCGCCGAACACGAACGTCAGGCACACGCCCGTCCACACGTCGATGGCCTTGGTGTAGGACACGGGCGGCAGGGACGCGTTGATGCCGGACGTCTGCGTGGCCATCGTCAGCAGCGTGGTGACGCCCAGCGACACGCGCGCCGGCACCGCGCTCTGGTCCAGCCAGAACGACACCCACGACACGATGACCAACATGCAGCACGGTATGTAGATCTGGATCAGGTAGTAACTGAACTCGCGCTTGAACAGCAGGTCCACTTTCAGGCAGCTGTACTCACCTGCGACGTATCATCACAAATAATATTACACATCGCGCGCGGACACGCGTGCGATCCGACTGGTCCGCAAACGACCGTACATCGTCGATTGACGGGCGGGAAAATGACGACTGCGGCCGCCGCGGTGCCGGACGGCAGGATACAATCGGGTTTTAGGACTTTAACCGGCCCAAAACCCGTAAAAAATGGGTCGGAACAAACGAGTTTAATATGTATATATTATGCGTATTTAATCCACCGAAATATGGTCTATGATATTATGTAAACTCGGTAACTCGGTTAGCATTCTATCCGGACCCGAGCGGACGCATAATACCTGACTTATACGCGGATAACGCGTTGAATCCGGTCCGGACTGTTTTCAGGTGTTTAAGTTGAACCCGATTACTGATATAATGTCGAACGAAGAAAACTTAGGACTAGTTTCATAGGTAATGATTAATGGGTTTGAGTGGTATCGATTTCGAAAATACGCCGGAAGACGCGGTTCAACAGTGTACTTGTTGTGACCATGTGTGCAAGTGCTTATTCAAATAATTGTCTTCTATAATAACGCAGTGTTAGAATAGATTTCGACAAACGCAACACAGCGAAAAGTTTGACGAAAAATGCTTAACAGACAAAAATTAGTAACTGTGTTGAAAGGAAACCTGTGGTTTTTTTTCAGTGTAAACAAGCAGGTACACATTTCTTTAGAGATTATACGTATTCAGCTAACATTCACGTGGCGTTTTCAAAATAACGTTTCAATTGGCATGAAACTCAATTTGAGCAACCGAAAAATATTTGTTGAACTCAATTCAATATTACCGACCCGTAAACGACATATTTTACGTGACGTGTAATCGCGGGTGTTGGTTATACGTTTACGTATGTTTTTTTATAATCCCGGGTGTGAATTTAATTAAAAAACTGGGATGCTGAAGCATATTTTTTTTAGGTCTTTATAGTTTTATAATCGTAAATTATCCATGATAAGTAAATTCGACTGCTCTTACACGTTCGTAATATTATTACATATTTTTATGTACTTTGTTGTTTACATAAAATAAGAACTAATTAACCATATTATAAAAATATCATAAATTATACGAGAGTGCTGATTTAAAAATTGAGGGGAAGTTAAATACATCAAAGTCCCTCCCACTTCAATCGCGCCTATAAATATTCATTCAGGATCTCAGAGATTTTATCGGTTTCAATCGCTTATTATATCAACCATACTAACCACCACTTTTCATTTAATAATCAATATATTTAAAATCTGATTTTTGAAATTTGCAAAGATACTTTAAGACAGTCTTTACAAATTCTTAAGATTTTTTTTGTAATTAATACTTAAGAATTCTCACTATAGCTTCCATATATTATCTTCCAAATCCGATATCATATATAGACCTATTATTCTTAGCTTATAAAAGTAAATAACTCTTAAGTTATTCGTTTAAATTCTGTTTTTGATACATTGTCATTTACAGAAAAATTACCTATTAACTAAACAACAGTATGTAAGAGGAATCTCATTTGAAAAATAAAAGTTTGTATTTTAACAAAATACTCCTTAAGTAGTACAAATAATGCCAAGAAATATATTCGTATATTCAAAAATTCGAAAAATCAGATTTTTAAATAATTGCATTATTGAAGAAAAATATGGTTGAGCGTGTTTGGCGAGTCGTTCAATATTTATAGGCGAGCGCTAAACTTAAAACCACGATAAACTTTTTTTGATTACGATGCCTACCAAATTTTATAATATACTGTAGTCATGCCTATTCTTACGAATTGATTGTTTTTTTATGCTATTATGTGGATGTATCTGCAATTGGCATGACTAAAATTATAATTAGAATCATCGTTGTATTAATATTTTTCATATCGAATCTCGAGTTTCTGTAGGTATGAGAGGTTTATAGAAACTTATCTGAAGTTAGGTTTATGGGATAGTGCTGTAGGGAATTATTTCGTGTTTCTGCGTTAGAGTTTGAAGGAAATCCGCAAATATACATTTCATTAAATTACCATAATTAATTATATTGTGCTGTTTAAGTTTTAATCAAATCCGAGTATCTGAATTATGAATAAAACGAGTCCGAATATAAATTATTGTACGAGTCATAATTTACCATTAATTCATGTTGCGGCATGTAAATACTGTTTTATTTAATCAAATTGTAATAATGTTATTTAAATTATTAGATTACTATTAGTATATTGGATTATATTGGATTTATGGGGTGTTTGTAAAAATTATGCATTTTTTTTTTTACTATTCGTTACTTGAATGATTTAGTTATTAATATTACTATAAAGTATAAACATAACATTTTTTTTGCAATGTTTAAATTGTATAACATACACTATACAGTATATAGCCATCCAATTTTGAAAACACTTAAAATAATATTTTTTTGTCACAAAAAGCAATCAACTTTTAAAACGCATTTTACGTGATGTACGAGAAATAAAATATTAGAATATGTAAATTTAGAGTTCCCAAAATACATGTAGGATGTATTTGTTCATAAAAAAAATATACAAAAACTCTGTTTTTCACGATAACGATAGATACTTCTTGCATTTGGTTATTACGTAATTTGTAAAAAGTACCTACAATAATGTACATATTTGTTATTGTTTTTTGAGTATATCTAGAATATAAATCAGGTATTTAAAGTCTTATAAAATTACGCTGATATTTAATTTATGTATTTAATTGTCTCTACATTGTTTTCAATGTAAAATAAAAACTTAAACTAACCTGTGTTAGTTTTGCTGTTGCAATAATCCGTGAGGAATTTTTCTAAAGTGAATCTGGGTAAGTGTAAGTTTTTTACCACTTGCACTGGATCGCCTTCTTTCCATAAAAATACTAAATCATCAGTTGTCCAACCGTCTAGGAAATCATTTCAAAGCATTTGAATTTGTTGCTTAAATAATTTAAAAACTATTACATTAAATTATTATATTGACTTACAGCTGACCATTCGGAGTGAACACGTTTGTCGATCTAGTGGATATAATTTGAGATTCATTGGACACGATAAAGTAAGTGATATTCTAAATAACAATAATATTAATAGCAGTGAAAATATAAAGTTGTAATAATTTTCTACTTATTTAATTGATTAATATTCATATTAACCTTATACTGTATAACACTAGTCCTTGGGGAAATATCCTGATATACACGTTTGGCATAATTATATTATGGAAATGACCTTCCTTTTCGTTAGAAAAGAACAAGTCTGGCATCCACACTCTGCTGGCTTCAGTTAAAGTTAAGTATTTCATCTTACCTATTCAAACAAGGAAACATAAGTTTATTTTTTCGCTTTGAACCAATTGTTAATGCAAATAAATGTTAACATGTTAACGTTGACAGTGACTTGATTAAAAGAATTTCTCAAATTTAAAAAATATAAAGTACTAATTTTTAGAATTTTCTGATTATTGTGAATATGTATAAATAATTAATTATTCGGCTATTTCGTAGGCCACTAAACTATATTTTAGCTAGTTATATGCGTAAAATTATATACAAATACTGTCCGTAAAGTTACGGAAGTGAAAATTCAAAAAAAAAAAAAAAAAAGAAAGAAATCGAGTCGTTCGATTCGAAGTAGAAACACATGAAAAGTATACATTAATATTGTATGTACGTAGATCATATAGAGTCCGGTTGTACGTGGTGAGGGGTGGTGGGTAGGTACTTCACTGTTAAACTTGAATCCGGACGCGCGCTCCTAAGTTATGCCGGTTGTATTGCTCGAGTACGCTTTTAGTAAGCAAAGTGATTTCAATGTATTTACCGTTGTAATCGTTAAATTTTAGCCTCTCGTCCATCCATTGTTCGCGGAACGTCAGTTGCACACTGTACTCCTAACACACAAAATACACGTTTAGACATATATCACATAACATTACATGAATATAACGCGTACACACGCACACATACACACACATTTATATATATATATATATACATATATCATGTATATATATATATATGCGTGTGTGTGTGTGTATGTGTGTATACATATATAATATGTACGTTATATACACGTTATAATATTTAATAACAACGATGAAATACATTCGAGGCCGGGGAAACGAGGCATTTCAGCTGCTAGGAGATGCGTGCGCTAGTCCGAAAACAATATATAATATTATATTATGTCTTTGCATTCTGTATGTTGTACACCGACATTTTGGAATGAGAATTGGACACACACTTGCCGTACAGCGTTGGTTTCAAGTGCTCAAATAGTGACTATGTAGGTACGAGTCACGTATTATAATAATTATATACACTTCTGAAAATTGTGAAATTTCGCGAGTCTGCCAATAAATATTATTCGAAATTTAATTGTGATATATTATAATAAGAAATGATTATCATATCATTGGATCCCTGAGTGTTATCCTTGTATAACAAGTATTTTAGCAATTTAGTATCGGATCGCATAGCACAGCAAATCGATAAGGTATTTTTTCTTCCAAAATTTTTCATTTTATTCTTATAAGAGTTATAAGTCACTATAATATATCAGTTGTTATTATTTATAAAATATATGAATTTAAAAATATCATGATGAATACAGGAAGGTTGCTTACAAAAAAAAATAAAAATAATAATAACAAAAATTGTAGGTAAATGACTAGTTTTTGGAAAAAGTAAAACTACAGTCGAATCTAGTTAACTCGAATCTCAGGGGAGGGGGTTAAAAGTTAACTCGATTTATGTGTTTTTTTTAATTATATATTTCAATATAACTTATAAACAATTCAAGGTACAGGCTTTCGAGTTATCGTGACTTGACTTTGTGTTATTATTTTTAAATATCATATAAAAAGTTAAGACGTGTAAATATAAAAATCACTTTAGTTCTTCAAAACTGTGATTTTATTTCTTTCTCTTCAACACTACATTGATATCGTTGGCCAATCACTATGCACGCGCATTATATGCGCACAGTGTTTTACTGTGTTTGTCCTCGTATATATCCGCCGGATTACAATTATTCTATACTAGAAACTCCTGCTGAAACTCGAAGATCTATAAAGATATTTAAACACTTAACAAAAATTAGTAAAAGTGCAACTTTTAAGATATTTAAATGGATAATATGATCAAAACAAATTGGCTTTTATTAATTTTTTAAGTAATACGAATACCTATAATTTCATGTACCCTGAAATAGAAAAAAAACAGTAGCGTTTATGGGTACAATAGTTATGGCAAGACACCTTGTGTATTATAATATTGTATGTATAGTTGAAATGATAAATTTATTTTACGGATCTATATGCGCAATCATCTCCTACCACTCCCTCAGCCCCAAATGAAAATGCGTGCGCGAGTGATTGGTGTCCTATAGAACATATTATTATATTATGTATATAGGATTCCTTGGTCACTCGTCTTCACGATTACCGGACGAATTTGTTAAAAGCGTCCATACCCGCTCATTACAATAATATTCGTCCAGAATCTGCACGTTTCAAGAAATAAAAAATTATATCATATTTAAACAAAATAAATAACGCACAAATACAACAACAAAGTGACATGCTTGTGTGGGTGTGTGTAAACGGAGACCAAAAATGCAATTAATTGGTCTCCGGCCGTGTATATACGACCGTCGTATCGTTGCAACGACAATATGCAGGTGGAAACGAACGGTAATTTTGTTTTGTGTGACGCGTGAGAGATGGGGTACTACGATATACGGAAGCATAATAATAACAAAATTATTCATACGTACGTGCAAGCATGTAGCGGATTGTATATAAAATTTTATTTTTAAAAATAAAGCATGCAAAATAAAACGAGTTATCGAACAAAATCGTCATAAATACACATCTGAGGCACAGTAAGTTACAGATTAAAAAACAGTGAGGCAGGTGACAGTCATAATGTATAATAATAATAATCAAAATAAACGCATTTCAAAAAAAAAAAGAAAAAGAAAACCAACAAAAGCATTTTTAATCTTTTTCTCTTATGAATTATTAACATCCGATATACGTTAAAGGTTATGAGAATTTTTTTTTGTTTTGTTTTTTTTTATTATTCACCAAAAACCCGGTAATTTCTGAAAAGCAACGAATGTTGTGCCACATACGTGTTAAATTTCCTGTATTTTGGTTATTTTCTCATCGCAGAAGTGCGTTCGACAGTTTGGTATACCTACCTAAATTTGTATACATTTTCAAAGTGTATAATGTTAATACGCTGTCGATAGTGTCTTATAGCAGGATGAATAAAATAATATAATAATATATTGTAGGAGGAAACTGAATTGTTACTTAAATACTATTAATTTTAATAAAATTTTAGGAAGAGTGAAATACGGAAATTTAAATAATGCAATAATAAATAACTTAATTCAATGTTTTTTTTTTATTATGTTTTTTCTTCGTAATGTAATATTCTATAATAACTATATATTATTTTTCCCAGGAAAAGTTCTATAACTTAATGTTTATTTAATATATTTTTAAAATACTAAACGTTTTAAAACAAATACCGCTTTAAAGTGCCCCGATAAATTAAATTAAAAAAGTGCACACAAACTGTTTAATTTTTTATTTCTACAACAAAAGTTTTTAATTTAATAGATTTTCATAAAAGTATAAATGTAAAATAACTTAGCATGATATTGTATTATGTATAATATAATATAAATATATATAAGTATATATGCATATATAGGTACACACATATACATATAATATGTGTGTGTGTGTGTGTGTGTGTGTGTGTTAATATAATATATATAATTGATTTAATTCAATATATTATACATATATATATATAATATATATATGTAATAATTTATATAAATTTATATAATATTATGTTGATGTATGATTGTATGTATTTATATACAAGACACAAAATGCCTAAATACACACACCATTTCAATGCATTATTTAACAAAAATAACAAAAACAAGATATGAGTTCAGAATAATCAATGTTTAAAACGAAAAAAAAATATACTTGTAGAATTTTATTCAAAAAAACACATCTTGTCCAACAGAAAATAATAAATGTGTAAAGAAAACTATCATATTGAATTGAATTATGTGTTAGGTGCTGTATATATATATATATATATATATATATATATTATATATACACATAAAAAGTGGAATGATAAATCGGATCTCAATTGATTATTGTGCGTCAGACGAGCAGATCTCAGGACTTAGTTGGATTATGATTAGGTGATCCTGTTGGTCAAGACATATGCCTACGGCCACGAAAACAAAAACATAAAATCCGCAAATAAATTGGGCGCAATATCACAACAGAAAACCAAATAATAATATTTCATAAAAACAAAATAAATCCAATAAAAATTATTTAAGGCCATCACCCGACTCACCATTTTGTAATCATCAATTCTGCTGATGGACCGTACCAACATGTTGACAAACACAATGCAGGGAGAGTCGCCTGCGGGATACAATAAAGACCGACAAAATATAGTCAGCGGTTAGAAAAACAAATCAGCATACTACATATTAAATTATTTCAAGAGAAAATAATTTTCAAATAAAAAATCAAAAAAAAAAAATCAAGAGTAACCTAAAAACATCGCGGGAAGTACTATGTATAAATTTTTTTAAGAAAAAATTCTAGCGCTATTCGTTAGGCCATTCACTATAATATTTTAAATATTATCCTTTGCGGATTTTAATTATACAGGGATGTGCGATGGACGTCAGATGCATACATTACTCATGGGAAATTGTTTGCGTATAAATTAAAATAAGTGACCCTGAAGTTAAAATTTGTTTTTGGAGATGGCTATTATATAATGTATAATAGATAATTCTTATATCTGTGTATAATTATAATAAGTAATTACTTAAAATTAAATATATAATAGTAATGTGCATGGTCTGTAATAATTATTTCCTTATTACTGGGTAGTATAAGTTAGTATGTATTTACTTCTAAAATTATAGAACTATTTATAATATTTTCGGTCTTATTTATCCAGAGAAATAAAAACTGTTAAACTATCATTAATTTGTAATGTTATGAGTTTTTCCAAAATATTTCAGTATCAAGTATTAAAATTATGAAGGGTAGTTTTAAGTGGAAATAGAGAAAACTTAGAAAGTTACTTTAAGTTTACAAGAAGATCAGCAAGACAAATTATTTTTGATTGTTGACTAAACGAGTTTTAAAAATAAGTAGGAAATAATAATTTTTTAAAAATAATACAATTTAGTGAATTTATTAAATTTAAAAGGTCATATGATGTAATTTAAATTGGCAAATAGAAAATTGTGATTTTATATTACAATTATTAATGCATAATGGAATTCAAAAATGGTAGTAAATTTAGTTCATACATATACATTTTTATTTATGTAAGAAATATTTTGAAATATCAGTGAAACAAAAATATTGTATGTATTGTTTTCCAATTATTATTAGATTTTAATTTATGTTACACAGTGTTTTTATGATATTTAAAGTTCATAATCTGCAAACATTATTTTTTTTTAAATTTGTTTATAATTGTTAGCTTTAAATAACTGTTTAGAGTATAAAGCAAAAAAAAAAAAAATTAATAAATGCACGTGATTTATTTTATTAAAATTTAAAGACCCAATGAGTTAAAATGCTCAATTAAGAAGGGTAACTGGATATTTTATCTGTGTAACAAAAAATAAAATAAAAATATATTAATAATCATTAGTATTTTTATTCAATAAAATAAAATTATAGTTTAAATCGATACTTGTGAATCAAAAGTTAATATTTATAAAACTTATTTAGACATTGTAGCAAATGAAGTGGAAGATGTCCCCTAAAATTAATAACTGAACAAAAGTGTCACTGGATTGAAAGAGGGCATCATTGAACATCAACACTGGTGAAGTATAAAAAAAATGTAATCAAGTATTTTTGACATAATTCATCATTATAAAGAGGATGTTTAATCAAGTTACTGGACAACTGAAGGCGCTTCTATAATAGCTTGAATGAAAATAAGTAAGTTGAAAGTTTAATGAACCATTTTAGATTGTAAAAATGTCTTGCAGAAGAATTAGTGCTGATTTATTCTATAAAAGTTTAAAATCACGAATAAATAAACTATATTTATTTTGATGGGATGATAATAACTTAGTTACTAAAGGATAACTGTATAAATACATATTTTAAGTTTTAGTATATTTATTTGTGTTACAATTTATTATTATTTTATACAATTCTAATTGTATATAAATAGTCACAAAAAATGGTTTGAAATGGATTGTTAGTGTTAAATAATTAAAAAAAAAACCATAAAAATATTAAAATTAGTTTTAGTTATAATATACTATTATTTTGGATATATTTAGTGTAAGTATTGTTTTTTGTTAGATTAGTGCATGTTATACATACAGTTGTCTACATGTGATCAAAGCAATAATAAATTTAATTTCTGAAATCAACTGATGGTTTTTACTTCAAAATAAAATATATACTTAGGATATTTTGACGACAAGTCTCACAAGAATATGACAACAATTATTTTAAATGAGAATAAAATTTGTTTTTTAAATCTTTCTTTGAGTTTTACGACGATGGCACGCGTTCAAAACTTTAAAATCAATCACAATGTTCAATTTAATTTAATATTATATACCTGCCTATAAAATGCAATGATCACGTAATATAATAATATTATAAATATTATAATTTTATATTAAGACGCATATACTGCCAAACCTAAATTACCGTAATATAATGTACTTCAATAATATCTTAATTTATATTGCTTACATTAGTGTTACTAATACGAATATTCTATAGCACTTATCTAAAAAAAAATCGACTCGTTAAGTATCTTGCAAGTTTACCATTATATATATATAGATAATATACAATACGGCAGTAATTATTTAATAATTATAATAATATTAAATGATTTCTGTCAATTAAGTCAACAAGCGTATAATTTAGTTCAGCAATAATTCTATGTTGTTATTATTATTAATTTTTTCTAAGTGTAGATAGTTATAGTAGTCATATGTTACGTAGGTACTCCTGAAAAAGCTCTCTGTCAATCTATCGGTTTGAAAAACATGTATTTTTATGCGCTTTACAAAGGTAGGTTTTCATTTTTTTCGTTCTTAAAATGTTATATAACAGGTTTTATTATTTATTTTATACACAATCATTCCATGTAATGTACAAAAATAAAAAAAACTGCTATGAATGCAAAATAAAACGTTCATTAAGAGCGGGTGAAAGATTCAGGAAACATAATATTATTATAGTATATAATATATAGCGGACGGGACCATCTACAAATATATTATTATCGATAACGTTTACGTTAACAATAAAAAGTAGAATATATTTTTCTCTAAGTATAAATATATAAAACAACAAAAAATTGCGTTTGTTTTTGCTCAAAATACCAGCATCCAACCTAGACAAGATGACTTACCATCTTGTTGTCACTTATTGTCATGATACTTCTCACAAATAGGTTTATGTGCACGATTGTTGGGCCATCTAGGAGTTATAAAATATTTTAAATATATATATATATATATATTTATTATTTTTTTAATTTTTATCGTTTAAAATACAATACATTTTGCTTATTTCTGTAAATATGATGGTTAATAAGATACCTAAAATATAATACTATAATATATCTGTCGCATTGCACCATAAGATGTATTTTTGTTGTGTAATTGTATTAAAAATTATTTTGTGAAACATTGCACGCATTAAGCACATTTCAATAGTTATTAAATTGTTAAAGAAGAATACACTATTATTAATATTCATTGAGCGTGGCAAAGAGAGCGTTGGAAAGTTTTGAGCAAAAATCTACATTTCAACATATTTATGTACAACTTGTACAAAAAAGAATATAAATATAATATAAATTAAAAAAACATTATCTTCTTTGAAAAAGTTTAATCTCTTTTATGCTTAAACTGTCGATATGAAAACGTGTTTTTTATTAAATTATTAGAATTAAAAAATATATGCATTAATGTCTGAAAAAATAATTTTATACATTTCCATAAAGTAAAAAATAGTATTGACTGTTTTTTATATTGTGGAATTAGATGAACTAACTCTAATACGATGTATTAATGATTTCCAGTATGATTGAAATGCAAATGAAAAAAAAAACTGTTATTTTTGTTCTAGCAATATAAATATAAAATAAATACAATTGTTCAATAGATTTTTGCTCAAGAATATATTTCAAATAAAAATAAAAAAAATGTGTAATGACTGTGAAATTATAAATCTCATTTATAGCTTGAAAAAAACGAACTCATTAAAAGATTGCTGTTTAAACGATAAAAGAAATAAAATATCAGTGCACGTTATCATATAAGAACATGTAATCCTGCAATAGGTAATAAAATATGTATAAGAGTCGTACGTAATGCGGGCATAGTGCATAAAATATTGATAAACCGTAACAAATAAATGGTTAAAAAGATAATTGTGACATATTTTGTTTGTAAAAACAATTGAAAATTGAGTGAATCAATGTGCTTAACTGATTTGACTTACCATTTCTTTGTCATTAATTTTGTCGATGCCTCGTATCATTAAATTTACTTTAACTATAATCCGGTTATCTAGGAATTATTATTAAGAGTTTTGATTTTTAATGTTTGTTACCAATATTATTATTTCGATACAAATAAATAAATGAAATATTATTTATATAAATATTTGTTGGTTGTTACAATTAGCTAAAATTCCCCACATAGACAAAGCAAAAATGAGTGGCCACTCGAAAGTTAAAAATTAAATCCTGCTCCACAATATAGGCATCATAATATAACACAAAAGGGGATTTGGCACTATGCACAAGTACATATAGAATTTTTTAGTTTGGCAAAAAGCCTAAAGTACTTCGAGTATTTAAACAAAAAATAAAACTTTGAAGGGAAAATTAAAAAAAAAGTAATAATGAAGAAAAAATAAGGTATCATTTTAATGATGAACTCATAAGATTAAATCAATCCCTCCCCCTTTTAATGTTTTACAAATATTGTTGAAGCTGCGGTGAGATTGTTAGATGTAAAATGTTCCTAAGTAGTTTTAATAATGTTAATTTAATAGAACATATATTTATAACTAAATAAAAAATAAATGAGCATAATAGTCGAGAGTATGTAAAGATTTTTGATTTTTATACAAAACAACATAATTTTTAATTGTATTTTACCTGTGCCATTAACTCCTGAAGGACGGATCCTAGCATCGTAGCTTCCTGGACCTAAAATTTGATCAAGAACTTCTTTTTCTTTGTGTCTAAAGTTGACTTTTGGAACGCAATTATTGTGTTTATTATATTTGCAGTTATCATCGTCAATTCGATTGCTGTAATAAACAAGTCATTTTTTTTTTTACAAGATAATAAATATGCGTTATTACTGAATAAATTTAATTTATGTTTATTTTAGCCATGAAAATGTTATTTAAAATCGTTTTTTACAGTGGTTATAGTTTAAAATTAACATTAATTTTATTTGTTTAAGTAATATTAGAGTATGGGACTATATAGATGAATATATCCTCTAATTTATTATTAATATTACAGAAAAAACTATTTAGTTTTTAAATTTTGAGTGGAGCTATGAATTTATTGATTAATGAATTATTATTATATATTATAAAAAATTATTTAATGAAAAAACCTGTTGTTAATTTTTGGAGTGGCACAAATGTTTTGTTTTTCTACTTTGAAGGATGGTTTTTGTTAGTAAATAAGATCTAGTTGGTATTTTTTGGAGTCAATTTTCGAAAAAATTGTTTGAAATGTAATACAATATTCCTCATAACTCATAAGTAGTTAATATTAGGATTAGAATCAAAAAATCTAAAGCTATGAAAACACAACTATTTTTATAGACATTCGAAATTTGGACTACATTACATTTTATGACAACGAATAACGATATTAAATATTTTGTTATAATTCAAAAACATTATTCGTGGAGACTTAAAACTTATATGTGTCTTATGAATTTTATGATTTGCGATGAAAAGTTCAAAATATTTAGATTAATTTCAAGATATTACCTATTTATTCTATGAATCTTTTTCCACTGTTTTATGGTTAAGTAATATTGACTAATAGTTTTTAATTATTATTCAACTCTAATTGTTTTATAATATGATAATATGTATATATATATATTATTATAATAATACAATTCTAATAATTTTTGGAAAATTATATCAACCTACCTTAATACCAATAGTATAATAAATTATTAGCAATAAAAATATAATATAGTTATATGAGTAAACGTATCTTAAAATATACTTAATGTTATGTAGGCTGATAGACCGTCTCTGCTCAAAATCATTTTTCGTATATAATGATTTATCATTGAATTCAAATTTTACATATCCATTACACTGACTCTCTATTCGATACCTACTCTATAGCAAAGTTTCCCAACTTGCACACATTTTATTATTATTTTGATTTTCGTTATAAATATTAACAATAGTTAATAAATAACGAATTTTCATCTCTGATACAATGTTAACTTTAAATTTAATCGAAGTATAACTCGTAGTGAAATAATTGATTAAGTACTAATAATACTGTATAATATTATTTAATTTGGTTACAGATAAGAATTTCTTACCAGCAATATTGAGCTAAGTGCACAAACAAAAATACCATCAAGAATGACGGCAACTCCTTGAAACTAGCCATTCTCTGCAGTAACCTTAAAATAAAAACAAGTAGTAAAATTAATTTCAATTGCTTAGTGTATACGTTTTGCATATAGATAAAAACAATACGTAATAGGTACTTCCTTATATTTCTCGTCTGTTGTACGAGAAACGTATCAATTTTTTGGATATACGTTTTGATTGCATACTAATGGCAAGAACTAACTCACTTAAATACAATTTTATGATAATAATATATGGATCGCACGCTTAAACTATTCCAATGCATTATAATATATTATTTTGTTCGGGTGGTTCGTAAATCACGATGATTTATTTTTACTGAATTCGGGTTATGCGCTTTTACAATGTTATTATGTTTAAACGGTACATTGACTATTATAATATAATAATCGTTGTACTAGTCGGAATAACTATATGTAATCTCGAAGGGTTTGATACTATGGCATAGAAGTACTGTGTTGTTCACTCATACGAAGGATTAGTATTATGTTACAGCGTCGATTATATTATCTGAAGACATGTAACGATATCCAACATAATTATATTATTATTGTTATGTATACGCATGTAACGCAGTGGTAAACGACCGTATATTGTCTGTTTTAACATTTAACACCGAATTACACACTGGTTTTGTATTATAATATTTCTCAAAAAGCAAATTTAACTTATTTCTGTATGTTTTCGAATGTATGATTTATGCCTGTGTACGCCCACAATGTGCACAATATTATGTTAAACTGCGGTGCTGAAATAATGCTTATTTATTTATTTGTTTACTATAATTTCTTAAATGCAAAATATACCTTTAAATGTAACATCAATAATGATATAGCGTGTTTACAATGCAAGTTGTGCTTTAAGTAGAAAAAAAAACGAATCAAAAAAAAAAAAACTTGAATTACGGTTTGTCACTGCCGTGCGAAAAGGCGAACAACGACAACAATGTACACGAGTATAGTTACGAACGCGTTGGCATTTCGTAGGACAGTCGACCCTGCAGACGCGGTCTATCCTAGTTGACCCAGTTTGTCGGCGACGTGTGCGCTCGTCCGAGCACCGCAAGCAACTCGGAAATTGATACGAAAAAAAAAATTGTGATAAAAATATTCTTTACGATATAATAATATAGTATAGGCCATTTCGCTTATTCGAGTATTCGATGACAACACTGCAACGTTTTTACGATACTTATAATAATATTTATCCGTTTTGTATTATTTGTGACGTTATACTCAATCAAAGACGATTAGTCCACGTGAAAAAATTAATTTACGTACGATTCGTCCTGTGTAAATATTAAAATGGCTGATGGGATATTATAATTGGTAGAACATTTGGTCCACAGTGTATAAGGTCAGCTTATAGGATGTTTGCTCTACGTGGTATTAGGAGTCTTTAATTAAAAAAAAGAAATAAAATGAAATATGTTTGAAACAATTTTTTATACTATGAAAAGTTCAAATAGGAATATGCGGATAAGTGTTCACAAGAACTTGTGCAATGGATTACTGATTGATGATAACTGTTTTAAATTTAGAATTTTGTTTTGAAATTAAAAAAAAAAAAAAAAAATAAAATAAAAGAATAATAATCAGGTACCTAACTTGACCGAGAAATAATTTTAAACTAATATTCAATTGATTTATAACGATTAAAATATTAGGCGACTAAAATTTGTGTAATAATTTCCGTGGATAAATCCTCCTAACTTAACACGTCTTATTAATTATCTATCATACGCTTATCGCGACTTGAGACTACTGTTGACGGTAAACGGTTTGCCTGTGCAATGCGCTCGATCAAAATTCAGTGGTGCCGTGTATTATGTTCGCTCAATAATTCAAGTAGTGGATTTCAACAAACTCGAAAATTGGCTGACGACTATGCCCCGCGAATGGTTTATCAGCGAGTACACGATGGTATACGTGGATAATAATATTAACCTTGTATACAATTTGCAAGTACCTTCGGAATTTCCGGTGTTTTAGGGCCGTTGCACACGTGCGATATTTGGTCGTACGATTTGTATGTCGTACGACGTTCTGAAATCACACGCTTGTAATTAAAAGCTGTTCACACGATCGCAAAAAAATGTAGTAAGATAATCGTACGACGCCTCGAAAGTTGTCGGACGCACTTTAACATTATGGACGATAAGAATATCGTACGGTGAAACACCGCTCGTGTGTGACGGTCATTTGTACGAAATCGCTCTGTCAACATGATGTTCTACATGCAAAAAGACGGGTAGTCGGTGTCGAATCAAATTTAGACCTATCGAAGTGCACTACGCACCATCGAGTCAACAGTTTTCGAAAAAGCGAACCACGGCGACCGTGCAAAGTCTCCAGTTTTACCGGACGAGCGCAATAATCGATTTTATCGGGCGGGATGGGAAGCTTGGCGCGCACGTCATAATATTATATTATTATATCTTTACTAGGTAATCGGATTTAAAGGGATTTTCTGGTGACTCACCCACCTGTATTTCCGTATACTCTATAGTCTATATTATTATGCGACGACGATAATATTAATTAATAATACGAATTTACCAGCATATTATACATTATACGCGATAACCGTGTTTCAAATATATATATATTATCGGTCGAAGGGTCAGAGGGTATAATTATTTTCACTCTTTTTTCTCTTTCTCTATCTCTGTCGTTAAAAAAAAAAAAAAAACAGAAAAAAAAACTAACCATGTTTTCTAGGGTTTTTGTTTTTTTTATTAATTATTATCGTTTGATAAACGCACGTTGCGCGCTGCTACCCTGCACTCCGGCAGGCCGAGAGCCAAACTAATGGCTCTGTTGTTATTATATATATATATATTTATATGTGTGTTATGCTTATGATTATATTATTATTTTCCACACGATGCACATAATTATTCAATTTTTATACGCGTCTCCCGTTAGTCCCGTTTTAATCTTTTCGTCCGTTCGTAGTAATTCCGCAACGGATAATCTAGATTTCATTCATTCGGTAAATAACAAAATATAAATAATTATAACGAGGAAACAGCATGTTACATTGGTGCGTGCGGTTGTCTCTATTGGATATGAACGGATTTGACACGTGAAATATTACAATAATATTTCATATTGTGAAAGCAAAAAAAAAAAAGCCGAAAAACAAGTCCAACCGATTCAAATGTACGATAAGTATTAACATTTTCAGATGACGGTTCAGGATGCCACACATTTCAAATGACGAGTCGGAGAGGGTGCAAATGTGGGAATGGAGAATTTTGAAATGCGTATAACAGCCATAATATATTACATAAAATATTATATTATTTGAGTAACTGTACACATTTTTGTTGGATTAGATTTCCAATATTATAATAATATTAATATTTTATATCGCGTTTGGAATATATTAAAAAGCGGAGGCCACACGAAACCGCAAAACACGTGTCTGTATTTTATATTATTATTGTACATTACATTAAGTATAGGTAGGTATATAAAAGTGTATGTGTAGCCGCAGGGCGCTCATAACGATAATAAATAAACCGATCCGAAACGGATTTCCGTCTAGGGAATCCGAAATTAAACTTTTCCAAAATAAAAGTAAAAAAGGTTAATTTATGTTATGAGGTTTTTTTATTTTTATTTTTATTTTCCACGGCCGCTTGCCGCAGTGACAAAAGTCTCGTGCACTCGGGAGAAATAAGACGTTATTGCCACCGCGAAGGTGTCGCCGGCGTATTATTATTGTTGTTATCACCATCATCAGTGGCGACGGCTCGGCTGTTGTTTATTTTTAGCGAACTGTCTGCGCGAATAACGGCGGCTGCAGCGTAGGCGGGGGGCGCTGCAGGTAAAACGACGGCGGTGGCGGTGGCACAGGGGAAATTGATCTCGTGTCCTCCGCCGTTGCCCGGGGCTACCAGGTCGCCGCGACGAAACCCGTGACGTAATACGCGAGTACGTCATCGTTACGGGAACACCGAGCTCGTGTATAATGATATAGGTAGGTATGTATTATATTATATTGTACGCGCGACAGCAATGAGTATTATCGTCTCGTTATAACATCGCGTCCCGTTATTGTTTTTCGGTCGTATTTTTTTTTTTTTTTTTTTATATATTTGTTTTCCGTCGGATCCTCGTCGGGTTGTTACTTTTTATTGACTCGTATATATGGTTTTCTGCCAGCTCGTGGAAAAAAAAAAAATTCGAAATCGAAATGCTTATCTCATTTGCAGTGTATATACGCTTTTATAACGATATGCCGATGGTCGTCTGCAGTTCTCCGGGGAAAATTGACAGTTTTCTAATCCCCCCGCGGCCGCGATTGCCTACGAACGTGTAGCGTACGCTAGCGTCAAAACCGTAACGTTATTTCGGGTACATTAATAACAATTTTTTTTCGAACCATTCGTATACAAGTTGCTTACGAATAATAAAACTTTTTACTAACAAAAATCAAAGTGATAAATTATCTCTTTTAATATATTTTATTTCATGAATAATATAATTCGATATTTTAAAATATAGTGTCAACTTTTCTTTTATATCAATAACTGATAATTTTCCAATTAGATTTCATAATCATTAACTAATTAAATACAAATACATATTTACATATTATGCATCACTGACATGCGAACCTTTGAACATCTTAATTCTATAGTTTTTAATCTTAAGTTGTAAAAGTGTATACTCACTACTCAGGCATATAGATACTTTAACTTTAAGCTTCCCTGACGACAAAACTGAAAACTTTATGCAACCTAATATGTTAATTTTTAAATAATTAGTCTGTAAGAAATAATTGATTTCAGGTTTCAATCGAAGTGATACATTTATTATATTTTATAAATATTAAGTTCGAATTTAATTAATATATTATATATGCAATGGAAATTTCCTATTTATTTAAGACATACATTTAACTGGAGAAAGACAGAGATTAGAAATGTATATTAAACATTGCTTATAAGATATCTATCACAGCATACTTATGGGTATTTTATATTCCTTTGTATTTGGATAAATTAAATATCAAAATA